TTCTCAGATAAACAAAACCTGAAAGAATTTAGCGACACTAGACCAGTTCTCCAAGAACTTCTGAAGGGAGTACTATATCAGGAAAACTAAATACAGACACACAGAAATAAGGTTTCAGAAACAACTAAGAAAATGGCCAAATTAATGGTAGGGAGAAATCCAGAGTTAAATATTATCCTCCAGAACTTAAATGGAAAGATCAGACCACAACAGAAGATAAAGTACATGAGACTAAACTGGTGAAATAGAATGTTATGACTTCTGACTAAAACATTACTGGTTTTCTTCTATGCTTTGTTTTCCAAATTTGGGGATTTTTGTCTTCTCTTGAGCTGACAATAGGTTCATGTACCTACTGTTTGAACAAAATCCTAACCTATTTCTTGGCTTAAAGTCTTAAGCAAAGTATTCTTAACATTTTTTTTTATTTTGACTTATTAAAGCTAAAACTGCCTTTCTTGAAATTAAGTATATATTAAAAAATACCTATTTAACGACTATAGTAAGCTATACCCTCAGCCAGGTGCTACTTTATAGTATATTCATTCTACTTACAAAGTTTCATGCCTAAAGTCAGAATTATGTTTACTGACATCTATATATCAAGTAAACTTGCTATTGAAAGTCATTAGTTTAATTAAGATGTTTTGTGAATAAAATGTAGAAAAGAAAAAAGGAATGGAAAGCAACTGTAGATACCAGAGACAGGGTAGGAGGAAGGTGGAAATGACAGAAAGTAAGAAATTGGGGGAAATTTTATTTATTTATATTATATTAATAAATAAATTTAAGAAACAAGAAATGTGGGACCAGCAGTTGGCATAATGGCTATGTCGCTGGACTCCCATGTAGTCGACTGCAATTTGAGTCTTGGACCTGGTGGCTTAAACTCATGCTGGACGCATGTGTTTGTGTGCCCAAGATCCTGAGAGGAGAGTGGAGGAGAAGGGATTGCAGTGTGGTCATCCCCCCTAGGGGGTGATTTCTCGCTTCCTGTCTCTCTGACTCTGTCTTTCTGGCAAGGATATGTGCCCTATAGCAAAAACCCCACAAAAAAAAAAAAAAAAAAAAAAAAAAAAAGGAAAGAAACAAGAAGTGGAAAATTATTTGATGATAACATGTATGATTAAGCTGCTATAGAGTATATTATGGATGGGAAATCACATTTTATATGCAGTAAAGATGTCCAGTGAATAAATAAATAAAAGCCCACATATTGCCAAAGAAATGCTTTGCAAGAAGAGTAGAATAGGAGGCATCCCACTCCCTGACCCATAATATATTACAAAGCTGTAATAATCAAAACAACATGGTATTGGCACAAAAACAAGCATGTGGAACAATGGAACAGAATAGAGACCCTCAGAAATAAATCCCAAAACATATAGCCAACTGATTTTTGACAAAGGGCACCAGACAATCCAGTGGGAAAAGTAAAATCTCTTCAGCAAATGATACTGGAAAAACTGGGTATCCACCTGCAAAGAGATGAAACTGTACTCTCTCATCATTAACAAAAATCAACTCAAAATGGATCAAAGATCTAAGCCTAAGACTTCAAACTATAAAACCACTAGTGGAAAACACTGGGGAAACTTTTGGAGACATCACAGAAAGCAAAGACTCCTAAAATCGGAAACCCTGGGATCAGCAGTTAGCGTAATGGCTATGTCGCTGAACTTCCACATAGTTGACTGCAGTTCAAGTCCTGGACCTGGTGCCTTGAACTCATGCCGGGCATGTGTGCATGCATGCCCAAGATCCCAAGAAGAGAATGGAGGAGTGGGGATTGTGGCGTGGCCATATCCCCTAGGGTGTGAGGTGAGTTCTCACTTTCTGTCTCTCTGTCTTTCTGGCAAGCACATGTGTCCTGTAGCAAAAACCTCTCCAAAATAATAAATAAATAAAATAAAATAAAATAGGACCCACAAAAGCACAGGCAGTATCCCAAAAATAGACATGTTGAATCACATCAGGTTAAAAAGCTTTTGTTCAGCAAAGAAACTATAATTAGAGTGAGTCAACAACCCTCAGAATGGGAAAATTTATTTGCAAACTATGCCTCAGATAAGGAACTGATAACCAGAATACTAAAGGAACTCAAGTAATTCACCAGAAAACAATGACCAACCCAACTAAAAGATGGGCAAATGAGTTAAACAGATGAGTCACTAAGGAAGAAATAGGAATCGCCAAGAAATATGAAAAAAAGCTCATCTTCCCTTATCTTAGGGAGATGCAAACAAAAAACACAATGAGATATCAGATAATCCTAGTCAGAATGGCTAAGGTTAAAAAAAAACAAACAAAGAATGATAAGTGCTGGTGAGGCTGTGGAGAAAATGGAATTCTCCTATACTATTGATGGGAATGTAAATTGGTACAGCCACTGTACAGAGCAGAAGTTCCTCAAAGACCTACAAATAGAACTATCATCCGATCCAGCAATTCCACTCCTGGGTATCTACACGAAGGATAGGAAAAGGTTCAGTTGGAAAAGTACTTGCACATCCATGTTTATTGTGGCATATTCACTATTGCTAAGAAGTGGAACCAACCCAAATGTCCATGAACAGATGAATGGATTGAAAGATGGCACATACACACTACAGACTACTCCTCAGCCATAAAAAAACAATTGGATCCTAGCATTTTATAGAAAGTGGACAAATATGCGAGACTTACTTTTAAGGGAAGCAAGCCAGACTATGAAAGAGAGAAGTTTTATGTCCCCACTTAATATATACCAAATATCTACACTCTATGGCAGAAACTGGACTATGTAAAAACATGGAGAGCAACTGTAGAGACCAGAAACAGTGTGTGAGGAGGATGGGAAATTGCAGAGGGTGAGAGGGAGGGAATCAAGGGAGAAAAAAGAAAGTAGTAAAAGAGGAAACACAGAATGGAAAATTATCTGTTGAAGATAATAGGTATGGTAATATCTTTGGGTCAATACTCAGTGTATTCAGGATGGAAAAATTCATTTTGTATGTATAATGATATATAGTGAATGAAAGTAAAATAAAAAGAAATTTTTAAAATTCTTACACTTATGGTCATTTGATTTTCAAAAAGAGTGCCAAGATAATTCAATGAGGAAAAAATGTCTTCAAAACTGGTGTTAGAACACCTGATATACATACAGAACTCAAAAAAAAAAAAAAAGCCAGCACAATTAAAATAGACAAGGGGACAAGGGGTTTGAATGGGTGTTCCTTCAAAGATGCTACTAAAGGTCAAACACATGAACAGATGCTGAACATCATGAGGCATTAGGGAAATAAAACCCAAAACCTCAATGACATACTACTTCATATCAAATAGGGTGGCTAATATTAATATAACCAACAAAAAATAGTAGTAAGTACTGATGAAGATATGGAGAAATTAGAACCCTCATTCATACATTGCTCGTGGAAATGTAAAATGGTGTAGCCACTTTGAAAAATACCTTAGCAGTTCCTAAAAATGTTAAACACAGTTACCATATATCCCAGGAATTACATTTTTGATTATTTTCTCAAGAGAACTGAAACTTTCCTCAATTTTCTGTAAATTAATCTGTGTGTGCTAGGAAGAAATGGATGGTGTACCTATTGGAATAATTTCATAAAATGAGTTTATAATGTGAATAATAACCACACAAGAACCTTATGTAAATGCAACCTTAAGCCCAGTCACACTGGTGACCACACTGGTGACCACACTGGTGACCACACTGGTGATCAGAGGGTACCACTATGTGGTGCCTGAGGTTACATGGGACTCCTAGATTCAGTTCTCAGGTCATCTTAAATAGGCCAGTTACAGTGGCATGGAACTGTGGTCCGAGCTAGCTGAGATGCTGGGTAGGATTGTGACATGGCAGGACTCTATCAAAAATATTCCCTCTCTTGCCTGTTTAAAAAAAAAAAATGACCTTTGCACTTTGAAAGTTTATTTTTAGAGATGCCCCTCTTTTTTTTTGGGGGGGGGGACTAGAACAACATAGAAAACAATGGAGAAGCCAAAGACAAATGTAGAAAAAAAGTCATCAGCATTCAGCCATTAGCTTAAAACTCTTTTGTCGATGAACAGGGGAGAATAGTTCAAAACCATCTGCTGCTTTCTAGCTAAGAAGCCATATTGTGCACAAAGTGCTCAGAATCTCTGTTAAATAGAAGGGGTAATCATGCCTATACATCAGGGCTGCTGCGGAAGCATCCTGCCATGGGAGCCAGGCTGATATGCTCAGGACTTGAAAAATGTGGGAATCAGCTCATTGCTGGCACCCAGAAATTTTGATCTGGCTGTCACACCTGAATAGAAGCCAGACGATCAAGAGAAAACGCCTGGTTCCATGTTTTTGTCCTTCTGGAAGGTGAGCCCACCCAAAGCAGAGCAGTAATGGCACAAGTCAGAACAGCAATGGTGAAATTCAGTGTCCTGGCACCCCTGCATATCCCTTTAGACGGTGCAGTTGGTGTTTGAATTCCAACATCAAACACGAACTAATCACTTTTTTCTTCTTTTGCATTGTAAGGGCTGATTTTTTAAAACTTAATAAAAACTATTTGCTTAATTTTTGAACATACATTTCTTAATTATATATTAAGAAGTCATTTCTAAAAGCAAAAAACCACTGGCTTTACCAGTTTCCCACTGAAATCCTGAAATCAGAGCTGCTCTTGGCAGGGAGAAACATTTCTCTGGGGGCCAGAAGTTCAAGGGCACTCCTCCCCTCCAGCCCTCCTTTCTTTTTCAAATAAAGTATTGTTTTAAAATATTGGAGTGTTTCCTAAGGGTAATATTCCTGTCAGAGCCTGGGTTGGATAATCTACAAAAAATTTTTTTCCGTTTCAGCTAGTTATTATACTCAGAACAAAAGGGATATATCATCCAAAGCAGTGACTGTACTGTGATGCCTCTTCTTTGACTTAAACAGCCAAAAGACTCTGAAAATAATTTTACGTCTAATCAGCTTTTCAGTGTGGCCACAAGGAATGAGCAAAGGTTACCTCCATGTACAGTTATCTTGATTGAGATACCCATAGAGAAAGCAAGCCACTCCTACTACGGCTGCCAGGAGGAGCATCTTAGTGTAATAGCCCAGCCAAGCAAAATAGATTCCAATCTTCTCTCCATAGTATTTCCTGCAGAAAGATAGAAATTATATTTAGAAGGCACAAATAATGACTGTGCGGCTTCATCTTAATAATAGTTTCTGATTTTAAATAAAGGAGGCAGTAAGCTGAACCCTCTGACTCAATTCAATCTTAAAATGTAGTCATTTTCATAGCAGATCCCAACCTCTATGAAACAAAAAGTATATTACATAGCACAGAAGTACTGATCACTATCACTGGTTTGCATGGTGAAGCAAAGTAAATTAAAGCAGAGCAAAGGAGGAAAAAATGCAGAATATGGAGCAACCCTGAGTATTGCCATCGCTCTTTGTGAAGATTGGCATGATTTTACAGTCTCTAGAGATTAATGTGCATGAAACAAATGAGCATGAACAATCTGCTCGCCATTATTTGCTCACTCTCAATCAGGGAACCTCCTTGGAGGGAAGGTAATGTAAATCACAAATAACAAGACAATGACCAGTGACAACACTAATTGGTAGTGGAATGTCTCCCTGGCCAAAATCCTTGTAAAACTCATTGTGGGAATGGGAGAAGGGAGGATAGATAGGAGAAATCCACTTTTCAGTATTCCTTATGTCTAGTGCTTTTATTTATTTATTTTTCTAAGGTTTAAAAAGTGATTAATGATGCCAGCAAGTGGCATGGAGGTTAAGGTGGCTGGGTCCCACATGGTTGACAGTATAGTTAAAGTCCTGAACCTGGTGGCTTGTAAATCACACTGGGCATGTGTGTGTGCATACCCCAAATCCCGGGAGGAGAATGGAGAAGGGATTGTGGTATGGTCACCCCTAGGGGTGATTTCTAACACTCTCTCTCTCTCTCTCTCTGGTGAGTGCACACACTCTACAGCAAAAATCTTTTTTTAAAAAAAGTGATTAATGATGTACTTTAACTCTAGGGTAAAATGCAAGAGGCCACATAGGAAGATTAGAAGTGGGTAGGTTGAACAAGCAGTGCAAGACTTGTTCCAGAAAGGGAAGCTAAATGTTTCAGACAGAAAGAAGGGGTCTAGAAGCAAAGGGAAAGCAATGAAGTAATTGCTATATGACTGTTGCTGATATATTACTAGACTGATTCATTTCTGCCTCAATCTCTATAGCTCCCCCGAGAGGTAAAGTTAGCTTAGGCCTGTATGAAGTTTCAGGTTCAGTATGGAGTGGGGAAGAACTTCTTGGGCTTATCCGAGTGGACTTAGCCCTGAGCACAACCTGGAGTTTTGAGAGACTTTAGACAGGACATCCCTGGGCTGAACCAGTGCTTATAGAACAGGTGGGAGACCAAGCACCATAGTCACAGGCCTGAGTGTAGCTTACATCCATGGGGAAAAGAAAGGCTGAGGCTGATGTGGAATTAGGAGATGGGAGAAACAAATTGTGTTCATTGTCATGTGTGTGGAGCTTTGTTGTCTAGCTTGCTGGTGACAAGCTAATGGCAGGCATGGGGTAGTGCTGGGAGAGAAAAACCTGGCAATGTGTTTGAGATGTTTTGGCCTCTCTTAGTTATGCTTTTCTTAAGGGATTCTTACTAACACCCAGCCATGGATGGGATATTTAAAAGTGAAAAGAACCTCAGAAGTTGCCTGGTCTAACCTCCTAATGGTAAAAGTATCCTGTATATTTAGAGAGCTGGTCAGGCAGTCTCTGCCTGGATATCTACAGTTATGGGGTGCTCATACCCTCCTAAGTCTTCTCCATTACATTGTAGATAAAGTCAGAAAGATTTTCCTAATCTTAAATGATCTTGCTGAAAAGCTGGGAATAATGAGAAACCCTTCACATTCTCTGCTCACTGTCTCCCTCTGTCAAAAATACCCAACTCTTAACAACAATTAAAAAAAAAAAAAATCACCTTTCTTTTTTGTATATTTTTTATGGTACAGTAAGGGATTCTTACTAACACCCAGCCATGGATGGGATATTTAAAAGTGAAAAGAACCTCAGAAGTTGCCTGGTCTAACCTCCTAATGGTAAAAGTATCCTGTATATTTAGAGAGCTGGTCAGGCAGTCTCTGCCTGGATATCTACAGTTATGGGGTGCTCATACCCTCCTAAGTCTTCTCCATTACATTGTAGATAAAGTCAGAAAGATTTTCCTAATCTTAAATGATCTTGCTGAAAAGCTGGGAATAATGAGAAACCCTTCACATTCTCTGCTCACTGTCTCCCTCTGTCAAAAATACCCAACTCTTAACAACAATTAAAAAAAAAAAAATCACCCTTCATTTTTGTATCATTGTTATGGTACAGTTACAAAAGAGCAAAATAGCTCCTGAAGGTTGCATTATAAAAAAGAGCAGTCCTAACTTATTTCCAGCTGCCAGAAGCAGCTACTTTCACCTCTTACAGCTGATTCTTTGGGTACCTACTTCCATCTCTCTAAGTAATATGCATGAAGTGCCACTCATTGATTTTTCAGCTTTATGTGCCACCTATTGACTTTCTCCTCTAAACGATGAGGATTAAGCTCTTTCAGCCCCCTGCCTCATCTGCACATCCATATCTCCATTCTCGGGCAGCTGTATTATAATTTTTGGTTAGATCAATACCCTTGCTTTACATTATTCTGACTCTGTAAACACCATTCACAGTTGAATCAAGTCATTTGCTATGATTACTTTTTCCTCCTGCCTGATATTTTGTGTTCCCTGGAGTTAATAATTGCCTGGATAGTTCATTTCTTCGTTTTCAGTGTACTTATCAACAAGTCAACCTGAGAGTCTCCCATGATGCACAACTTCCTCAGTACTTCAAACATAAGAAGTAGTCCACCAGTTTCAACTTCTTCAATAAATCCCTTCAGACCTCTTCCAACCAGACTAACGACTCTCCAGCCATGAGTTGTCACAGGGTCCTCTCAGGGCCTCTCTCAGGCACTGGGGTTCCTATTTCCCAGATCTGAAGTCTTCCTCTTTCCTGGTGGGACACTTCCTCCATTATCTTGCATATCTGAACAGTGAACACTCCTCACACTTAACAATCTGGCCATATATAGCACTGTTAGTTGAAAAATCACTTTTCTTAGAAATGTGAAATTATTGCCCAAAATCCTGAGAGGAGATTGAAGGAGAAGGGAGTGCATACACCCTACAGCAAAACCCAAAACACTAGGAAACAACAAGAAGCTCTGGCCAATGAAGCTCAAAGCTTGGGTGAGCCTTCCTGGTTGGGCAATACTCTGAGTATTGCCATAGCTAGATGCCTCGAGGGTAACCCTGAAAGTGTCTCTCTGGAAGGTGCTCTCTACAACTCACCTGATAAGATCCAAGGGCTGCTTTTTGTATATGCTTCGAGGATGAGCCCATTCCCTGTACAGAAGGTACCGTTCATTCGGGCAGCTGGGATCCTCTGACATGTGGCGGAATTTGCACTGTGAAGCAAGGAAATAAATGAGCATCATGTTTTCACAAATCTGTTCATTAAATATGATATTGATATTACTAATTTTAAATTAATAATTAATTCACCAATAGTCATTTGTAAGTGGTCCTCTCTTGTTGGCAGAGATATTAAATACCATCTAATTTTTAGTGATTCTGAACGGGATTTATTATTACTTCCCTTGGGGCTGTTATGAACACAGCAGGGGATGAACGCTTGAATGCTATAGTCCCAGGGAGCACCGAAGGTCCTTGGTGGGAGTCCCAGGGATATCCTACTAGTGGGGAAGTCCTAAACAATGAAAACTAGGCCATTCAATCCAAAATCACCACAACAGGGGACCTGGTGGCCCCCCTCCCTCCTTTGACAATGGAGGAACCAAGAGCTTGGCTGGTTACCAGCAAATTCACCTCTAAAACCCAGGCATTGCCCTATAGTTCAGCAGTTATTCTGTGACAACATGTAGAAAATAAACAGTAGAGAAGCCTGATGTCAAACAAAACTTATTCAAACAAAACCTCCTGCCTCTGCTTAAATTCAGTGACTCATTTTCCTGTCTGATTCATTTTCTGTCTTCCTGTACTAGAACCAGAATACCACCCAGCCAAGCCTTGGCATGGGCCTTGACCTCCACCCACCTCCATCCCAAATAAGGGATCATTCCCTGTGGATATGGGAACATGCAGTTCTAATAGGCTTTATGAGAAAACACCTGAACATGAGCAAATGGCAAGTGACTACTACAGAACCCTGTCATCCCAGATTAATATTCATGACAACTATTTGTTTGTGTCATGATACAATTGCTAGTTTTGCTGGGGCACAAAAATAAAACACATGGACTACCAGGCTGGATGGCCGCATTGGGTCTCTTCGTCAGAAGCTCAGCATCTGCTTGTCCACTCAGCTCCCTGCTCTCCACTTATCCATGGCATCAATGAGCTGTTCAGTGTTTATTACCTTAAACATTTCAATACTGCTGCTGCCCACAAATACATGTACCACACTGTAGCAATAATCAATCTTAATCTTTTACATTTTTGGTTTTAGAGATTCAGATATACTGACATTGAACATAACTAACAATGCGGTACAATACAGTATTTCATTTATTTTGATAATGATTTAAACAGCTTTAGATACAATACTCCTGCATTTACAGAACCATGATGGGTCTGTGGCTGTCACATTTTTAAAACTGCATTTCACAAGAGATATCATCAGCTAAAGAAGTACTCTTGAATTTGAGGGGTTGCTGTGGCCTCAGAATGTAGTCCTTAAAAAAAGGTCAACAATGTAGGGCATTGCCATGATGGCAAGAACTCTGACATATGCTTTTAAAAAGCTCTGGAATATTCCAGGGAACAGTTTGAATACAGTATTTTAGGGAGAAAAAGTCTGTGTTACAGAAAATAATAAACAAGATGCTCTAACATGTATTATGCTTACAAATAACTAATACTTTTTTGGTTGACAACATCTGTCAGTAACTCTGAAAAGAGCTAATATATATAGTAGTTACTACATGCTGGGGACTAATAACTGACATAGATTAATTAATCCTTATAACAAATCTATGAGGTAGGTACTCTAACAGCCCTATTTTATTGATAAGGAAATTGAGAAACGTAGAGGCTAACTGACTTTTTTTTAATAAGATCATTGAGCTAAAAGTGGCTGAGCATACATTTTAGCCCAGCAATGCTATTCCAGATTACCTGGGAATATGTACTCCTTTACACATTACCGTGGGAGAGATACTGTGATGTATTCGTTCACTCTTTTATACTCAGTACCTTAGCTATGCCTAGAATCCCCCAGCGAACAAAATGGCCAGTATTTGTCCTAAATGGGCTTGTCATCTTGCACTATATGTATCTCAACTTTACTGAGGAAAAAATGTGAGGCCCAGAAGGTCAGTCCTTCCCTACTGTCAACACCAGAGTATACTCGGCCTTTTATTTCACTTTTGGCATTTGACTTACATCATGGAGAGGGAAGGCTGCCTTGTAGATCCCAGAATTTACAAGTCTGTTAATCCCAAATTTGTTAACATTGTTCATCACTTGGTACTTGACTCGGGAGAGGATGAAGTAAACCTAAAAAGATTCCAACACAGTAAATGGTTTATATAGAATAACTAACCAATCCAATTATTGTTTACTACTCTGACAGGCATCTATAGGCACACTTTATTATTATTTTTTAATCTCTGGCAGCTTTTAATAACAAAACTGAAATAACCCAATCAAACCCTTAATTATTCATCAATAAATTTTATATCACCCCCAACAGCGACTAAATTTGATTTTGACTTACAATGCGGCTTCTGGTGGCTGGATTGAAGAAGGAATCTCTATCATGAATATAAAAATCGTTCATCCTGTTTTTCTCAAATGGGGCAGTGAAAAACTCTTGCTCTGGCTTGATGATACTTTCATCCACGCTGAGGACTTTGGTGAACCAGTTAAGAGTACCAAAGGCTGAGGACCGGGTTTTGAGATCATTGGGTTTCAGAGGCAACTTGATGTGCATTATCTCAGCGTATGTACATAACACCTCCCATGGTGCATGCACCTTCACGAATACAAGCTTGTCATCTAAAACCTGTATTGGAATAAAAATAGACCAAACGAATTGTTTTCAAAATTTTAACACACACAGATTTTTCTTTTGTTTATTCAGTTATTTCTTCATGAGTGAGAGACAAGAGAGCACCCCAACAGGGTCTCCATGCCATGATCGATCCCCAGACTCAGCCAGCTTCAGACTGTGGGCAGCACGTGCCTGCACTTCTCAGGGAGGTCTCTGGGTGTGAACCTGGAATCTCCCCATGTGAGTTGGCCTCACAGCATCACATTTTACCTCTGCATTACTGTGGCTCTTGCATCAACATTTTTTCTTAAAAAATTTTTTTTTTAAATTCATGAGGGAACCTGTATGTGTGCACATGAGGGTGAGAAAGAAAGAGAAAAAGAGAGAGAGGGAGGGATGAGCACCCTCCACAGGGTCTGGTCATACTACAATCCCCTTCCTCTAGTTCTCTAGCCCACCAGATCCTGGGCATTCATGCGTACGTTCAGCGTGTTTCATGCTGACCAGGCTGGGGATTCAAAGTGTGTCACTACGTGGGATCCAGTTCCTCTTGAGCAGCACATTACCAACGTGTCACAGAGCTGACACCTCCACCCCTCATGTTTTTTAGGTTTATTTATTCCATTGTTTTTTAGGTTTATTTCATAAGAGAGAGAAGCAGAGAAAGAGAGAGAGGAACCACAACTGGGTCCTCATATTGCAACCCACCTTCAGTCTCAGCTGGTCTGTGTTCATGGCCATGTGTACATGTGCCTGGCATGCTTAGGGGAGGTCCAGGGATGTGAACCCCAGACTTTCCCTTAAAGATCTAGTGGCATTAATGCTGCATCACCATCTGGCCCCAGATTTTACTTATGTTGCTGGTAGTTAAAACACACCCACACCCACACACACCAGTAAATCGAAGATATAATAAACACAGATTTGTATACCATGATAGATTTTTTTCCTTAGTGATAATTTCTTTATTCAAATTAAGTAATTCAAATGATCATAGTTCTTTCAATAAAACAAATATTTTAACTAACAAAAACTAACTTGTTAGGTTTGTCCATGACTCCATTCAGGTTGTAACTTAAAATAAAAACACTAGAATATTCATTACTGTGCTATGGTAATAAAAATATTTAATCTTCTAAACCTAGAATTACACTGATTAATTATTAAATATCTGTTTATTATCATGCTACATAGTCATTAAAAATAATGTAAAAGAATGATAGGAATGTACTTATTATAAAGGATAAAAACAAATTATAAAAGTGTGAAATGATAGCTCCCCTTGAAAAAGAAAATACATGTATTTGAGGGAAAAAAATATACAGAGACTTCAGGTTATTTCTGGATCATTAAGATAAGGATGATTTAAACATTTTTCCTACTCTTATGTTTTCTAATTTTTATCATGAACTATTGCTAATATAATTAAAAATACAAAATAACTTTTAGGAGGCCAGACAGTGCCATAGCAGTAAGATGTTATACTCTTTTTTTTTTTTTTTTTTTAAAAGAGAGAGAGATCTTTTGCTCAAGTGTGGGTATGCTCACTGCAGAGACACAGAGAGAAAGCAAGAAATCAACCCCTCCTCCCACCGGGGAATGGCCACACTGCAATCCCTTCTCTTCCATTTTCCTCTTGGGATTCTGGGTATACACACACATGTGGTTGGTGTGAGTTTTAAGCCACTAGGTCCGGGGCTTGAACCAAGGTTGACTACATGGGAATCCAGTGACATAACCATTATGCCATCTGCTGATCCCCAAACCTGATACTCTTTAAGGCAAAATTACATGGGAAGGTTCCCAGTTTAAGTCTGAAGCCCTCTCTGAGTATACTGAGCACAAATGTGTGCATGACACAGGGCCTGGCTGAAGACTGAGAGTACACGGTGGCATCGGGACCCCTGTTGGGGTTGCCGTCTGTCTCTCTCTCTCTCATGAAAATAAATAAATAAAAACAAACCCTTTAAAAGGTTCATTCATATATGCATTCACTAAAATTCTTGGGCTATTAAGAAAGACCTATTGGTGAGCCGGCCCATGGTGTGGTGGTTAAGGTGACTGGATCCCATGGGGCTGATCATGTAGTTCAAGTCCTGAACCTGGTGACTTGAAAATCATGGCAGGTGTGTGTGTGCATGCTCAAAATCCCAACAGCAAGGAGAAATGGAGAAAGGGGATTGTAGCCAACCATACCGCATAGCGGGTGCTTTTTCACTTTTCCTTTTCTCTCCGCTCTTGCTGGTGAGTGCATGGCAAACTAAAAAAAACAAAGCTGGCTTCAATCAGAAAAAGATAATATATTCTGTACAGCACAGATCTTGGTGAACTCCCTCCCAATCTGGACTGAGGGATGGCTAGGGCTATGTCTCCAATGCCATCCCAGTGGGAACCAAGAGCTAAAGAAGGACCAAAACTTACAGATCGTGTTGCTTCTAGCTGCAGGCCATGGAAGATAAGGTTAGATTCATAGGCTTGTCTTTTTCTCTGTCAAAAGAAATTTGATATGTTAGGTTTTCAGTTCTACCAGAGACAAAAACAAAACACAAAACTTTTTTTTAAGGAAAAAACCTAAAACAAAAATGAACAATTTGAACCTGAAGAAGAGATGCAGCTGCTCAAAGGCAGCAGAAGCAATGAAATGGCTCTCTCTATTGGTGGCTTGTGGGTGTTGAATCTACAGGAGAATGCTCTGTACAGTTTGATTCTCGGAGCACTCTGGAAGGCCCTTGACCACCCTGGTGGAGGTTCTGGCCCTTTGTGCCATCTCCAGCTTGGCAAAGTGCAAGACCTTTAACTTGTAAGTACAAGAATGGAGCCTTCTCAGTCCCATTCAGTGATATTATTTTCCAGAGTTCAGGATTCCAAATTTAAAAAATTTTATTTCCATATCAGACATTCAAAGGTGATTGGATACATATATTTTATCCCTGCATGCCTTGATCAAATTAAATAAAACATCACAGAGAGTTTAGGCAAAATTCCAAGGATCTTTTTTTTTCCCTTTCTGCAAGACTGGGATATTAATAAGGCTATAAACATTTGAATCTGCAACAAACAAGGAATGAAATCATTGATAGTGTATCTGTCCATGTTACACAGCCATGTCAAAAGATGCAGAAGATACCGTATTTATTGAAGATTGCTTTATCATTTATTAATCATTTATTTACTGGGGCATCGGAAAAGTCATGATGTATGTTTTTTTTTGTGTGTAAAAATGCATCATGGCTTTTTCAACGACCCAATATTAGTAAATGGCAGGGGCCAGACAGTGGCATAGTGCTAAAATGTGATGCTTTCTAAGGCAATTCCACCAGGGAAGGGTACCAGTTCACGTCTGGAGACCTCCCTGATTACACCAGGCATGTGCTTGCTGGAGATGGCTGAAGGCTGGGGGGTGGACTGTGGCACTAGGATCCCGTTGGGGTTCCCTTTCTCTCTCATTCATGGAAGAGCTAAACAAGTCCAGAAGATGGCATAATTGTTATGTTGCTGGACTCTCATGCAGTTGACTGTGGCTTGAGCCTCAGACTTGGAGGCTTAAAACTCACACCAGGTGGATGAACATGTGTGCTAAAAATCAGGAGGGGAGAATGGAAGATAAGGGACTGTGGTGTGGCCATCCCCACTGGGGGACTGGTTTCTCCCTTACTGTCTCACTGTCTCTCTGTTGAGCGCATGCGCCCGATAGCAAAAATCTCTCTAAAAAAAATTGGTATATAGTTCTTAAGCATGTAACTACCATTCTAAGAGCTTTGAGCACATGATACAATAACTTAGAGAAAAACTGTAGCACTATAGTTTCCTTAAAATGAACCAAGAAATCCTCAAGTCAGAAGAGGGAGGCTGGAGGTACAGCTTTCCCCCCATGTTCCCAGGTAACTGCCTCCTGGCTCCCCATCAGCTCCACAATTCTTCCTAGGAAGATTTTTCAGCTCTTCATAGCCCTGACCTATCATGTTCACTGCTCAACTTGGGAAGCTGACAGATTTACTCTATTTCTTATCTGTGCAGCATTTTTTCACTCTAGATCCTAATCCTCATATTTTGATTCTCGATGACTAGGATGGCAGCCTGGTCCTCATTCCTGATTGTTTCTTTATTATTGGATAAAGCACTCTGACTCTGCAGTGTTCAATATACTTCTTGATGCAAAGCATATGTCCTGCACATGTTTGGTGGAACAATATATTCAGCCAGCACTTATTAACTAATTCTATAAGCATTTCCTGAGAGCCCACTATTTTCCAAGCATCCTGCAAAGTGCTAAGGACTCAAAGAAGAATTTAAACTAGGCTATGATAGAGGAACTATTGAGAAACTCAGTAACCAGTGACCTAGGGCCTTCTCCTGAGATGGGAGGACAGAGACATCTCCTCATGCATCTGTTTCTGGGCTCCCTAATGGACATCCGTTGTTCTTAATGGCCACTCGGTGTTTCAACTCCTACCAAGCCGATGTCTGCAAGAGCATATAAAATACAAGCTACCCCTTTCCTGGTTTCCTGTGAAGTTCTGTTATGGGTACACAAGCTAGGCATTGCTAACAAGACCACCCTTTCCAGAATCTGAGCTGGAAGCCACTGATGCAAAGAAGCCAAACCAAGCAGAAGCCACTCTGTGGTGGTGGAGGGCAAAGGCTAGTTCCAGAAACAGTCAAGGCAGAAGGTATGGTTGGAGCTCTCAGTGACCAGTGGTGCCTGTGGTGCCAGCAGCAGCCTGTGCCTTGCCTCAACCCTACCCCTAGACTGGCTGTGCAATAGGATTTGGGGTACTGCCGGCTGCCTACTCTCTAAGCTTGTTTGTAAAACCCTTTAGGAGAATCTGTGTACTTCCTTACACCCTTTTAATGATGAATTGCTTATCTGTATACATTAGAGCTCATTTCTGTTACCTGCAAGCAAGAATCTTGACTGATGGAGTAGCTGCGAACCAGGGAAAACTTGTGTGCCCACAACCTAAATCACTGTGCTGTGGAGAGAGGGATCAAGTATTCTGAGAAGGGCTCTCCTTCAGGGGAGATGACTTACACTGAGGTTGTACAAGGGCAACCTACTGCAGATGACTTCACTGGCAGGTCATAGCAGGGCCCTTCCTTGGGTCCCGACATCCTCTAGAAGTTAGTCTAGAATTTCACAGTTAAGGTGTGTTAAGCTCAGGCCTAAGAATTTTAGCTCTTGGAGACAAATATCTTTCTCATTAGAAGAGTAGGAGAAACAGTCAAAAGAGACTTCTCCAGTGGCTTAATGGATATTTTTGCAATTACGTGCTGGTAGGAAAAAAAGAATTGCGCAACTGTGTTAACTAGCCATTACAAATTCATGATTTCCATCAGTTAGACCTGCCATGAGACACAGCTATCTCCTTCCTGGCTGCTAGCCACACACCAGAGAGATGCTCCAAACTTTTGAGGTGCTCATCATACTCCACAGCTAATTCCAGACCAGCAGACTTCTGATTCTTAATATTGGAAAGGTAACTTCCAGACTGGCAGGTTGCAGGGTGACCTTGTGTCTTTACTCACAGAGGAAATGGCAGCTGTTTACTTGTGACCCTTTGCAAAAGGTCTCTTTCTTTCTACCTATCAAATAGCTGGATACCATTTATCTTCTTGATGTCAAAACCCCATCCTTCCATATTTCTCTTTGAGTTTTCTTTGGCAATACCTTCTTTCTTTAGTGCTCTTACTTTTCAGTCAACAAACATCTCAGATATTTCCCATTCTCAAGAAGATTAAATCCTTCCATGGCCCTGCCTGCTCTTCAACTCCCACAGTCAGAGAGGTTTGTCTTTTAATCTTGATATCATTAGCACTTGGAACAGGTCTACATTAGAGTAATGAGAGTCTGATGAATGAATATAGTGGAGGGTGAACCAATGGCTGCCAAGGATGTGGAAATGGATGGCGGAGCACAAACCACTGCAGTGTGGTAACTGGCCTTCCTTGTGCCGAGCCCACCAAATTTCCTGTGAGCCTTCATTACAGGTATTATAGGATAGAAGAAGAGAAATACAGTTTAATTCTGGAGTTTACTAACACCAGATAGTGTAGGGGCATCTGGAGCATGAAGTGATTTCCAGATACTTTGTAGAGTTTGAATTATTAGATGATAAAAGACATAAGGTTCAGAGAGCCCAGAATGAACCAGTGTCCCAAGAGGGCAGTCCTATCATCAAGCACATCAAACACAAACTGCTCCTGTTTTGGTTGTTCAACTGCATTGGCCATGAGTGCGGCATGCTGAATAGATCAAGTCAGATTTGGTTCTTCCCTGTGGAATTTCTCTGCTGAGACTTCGATGCTCATCATCCTTCTGGGACTCTCTCTTCCCAGACTTAGCTCTACCAAACAGACCCTTTAGCTCCTGTGGTTTTGGTTTTCCTCTTACTCCTGGGTGTAATGGTCAGATTCACAGTCAAAATTCAAATACTGGCTCTGTCCATCAATGTTCTCTGATGTAGGGCAAATAAACTCTACAACCATCAGTGGCTTCAGTTCAAAAGCCAGAGATGATATAATTTGATAAGGCTTGAAAAAGGACTTGGTGTGATACCTGGCATATAATAAGCCTTGTAGGTATCTTAGCCATCATCATTATCTTCTTTGCCTCCCAGTTTTTTACAAGACAAATTCTCTCTATTCTGGTAATCGCCAACCCACTCTGCCTCCACCCCAAGCGTTCAATGACACCTTTATCCCTCCAGTGGGACACTACTAACACCATTTCACTGGAACTCTGGAATTGCTCTTTTTTTGTTTGTTTGTTTTTGTTTTCCTCCTCCCTAAATTGTCAGAGGGCATATGCACTCACCAGGAAAAAAATGGTAAGCCATGTGGAACCTGGTTCTGTTAGCCACTAGGCTACAGGGCTGGTCCAGTATATGGATCTTAATGTTGAGTCTCTCAGCTCTCTTTGACACATTTATATACTTGGCTATCCTGTCCTGAACTACCTACTTTGCTATCTGATGGATATCTATGTCCTTCTCACTTTCCGATGGGTAAGAACATATCTTTATATTTCTTCTCTTTTGCTCCACTTCTGTGTATATAAGGGAATTCACTAATGAGAGTATGCCACCTTTGAATATCACAGATACAGGAAACATTAGAAATACTGCTCTTCTATCTAATTTTAAGGGCTTGATAATACTCTGTGAGAGAAACGTACTACAATTTAGCCAATCTCAAATTGTTAGATATTTAGGTTACTTCTAATTTTTCACTATTAGGGAAATCCTTGTAGAACAATTTCTGTGCATCCATTATTACTTCCTAAGAATAAATTATTAGAATTGTGAAGTCGAGAATGTAGTCAAGTTCTTTAATATGTATTTCCAAGCTGTCCTCTAAAAGGTGGTACTAACTCCTATTTCCGTTCTTATTTAAGTTCTTTATAAAGAACTCCTGAGATAGTTACCCGATTTCTCTCAGGATAATTGGTAGACCTTGGGGTTGGTTTATAATGCCCTCTACTTTACCAC